TGAATAAACATCCGTCTTCCTGATATCAACGGGACATGAAGTAAAAATAGTTCTAACATCTCATATATAATATATCAAACTACAAATATACCGTGACTTTTCTCGAGTATAATGTCCCATAAAAAACTAATAAGCGTGGGATGACGAAAGGAACGTCGAAAGTTTGCATTTGGAGAGATAGTTAGGATTTAACCAAATATATACTATAAACTGGCCGTATTGTCATTTGAAACTACTTTCCTTTTTTATTTTGTATCTAAGAAAAAAATCTTTGAATCTGATAACAATATGAGTCACTGTACATGTATGAATTTTTTTTTGGAGTTCAGCTTAGATCAAGACGATTCATAGCCATATTGAGAATTATAAGTAAGTTAATGCACCACAACAATAACTCAACAAAAAATTACCAAAACCTGATTTGTGACGAAATTATTTTTAATTAATTTTTCTTAATTTTTAGGATAATGGAATGGTATTTGATGGTTTAATTAATATTTAAACTATCTTCAATTGATCTGGTTGCAAGAAAACCTCGGAATTTAGCTTACAAATTAATATTTTGTTTTGATGAAAAACAGTTTTTTACTATAGAACGGGTATCCACTCAAGATAAGCTGTCGATAAAACACATATTAATAAAATCGTCTTTATCCATAGAATGACAGAAAGCACAATACTTTCTTCAAGTCTATAAACAGCTAATAGTCTCCATATGAGTCATGTCCAAAAATACTTTTAACTAAAAACATGACGTTCCGTAATATTAACGCTGAGACAAAAATTTTATTATAATTTTAATTTTAATAAAGTGGAATTATATAGAAAAAAATTGACAAAGTTCCAATTTAGGGTCGAAATTTATTAAGTATGGTTTCTTATCTGTAATGCTGGGAGAATATTGGAGAAGGTTGAGGTCTTGGAGGTATTATATCCAACCAAATAACTTACAAACTATGTATGACCTATATTTCTTACAGTCGAAAATAAATTATTCATTGAATAATGATAATTATTAAATAATTATATAATTTTATCTCGAATTTTTATTACATCATTAAAAATTTAAAGATATATTTGGAATTTATTTTTAGACGTCAAATTTATTGGTAACAGGTGGAATTGTAGATAAAAATTTCTAGTCATTATTATTAATTATTATGTATCAGAGTTTAATTTTAACTTCTTTGATATTATTACAACACTGAATAAAATTTAAAAATGGCAAGGTATATAGATACATTAAATAATCTATATCTATACATATAAAAAAGTCGTGTTAGTTACACTATTTATAACTCAAGAACGGCTGTACTGATTTTGGTGGAAACTAGTGGGGAAGAAGGTTGGAAACAAGAGACAGACATAGGATACTTTTGAATTCGATCGACCAAAAAAAATAAAATCTGTTTATTTACTGCCTTTATATCGAAACAGTTCGCGTGGTCAGATACATTTCTAATTATGAAACTAACTCGGACAAAGTCGCGGGCAAAAGCTAGTGCAATAAGTGATACTATAACGAATCTTAATGTATTGTTACAATACAATTTCATAATACTATTATAGAGTTATAAGAAACTTGTAAATTTATAATATCCGTTACTATTTATATTGCGATAAACAATATTACAAAAGAGATATATGTATGTATATATGTGTGTGTATGTATGTGTGTGTGTGTGTGTATGTATGTGTGTGTTTGTGTGTGTGTGTTTGTATGTGTGTGTGTGTTAGTTTGCGTCATAGCCCATTGCGCTCGTAATCTTCCTTGAATACCACTTACTTTGTGGCGTTTGAAAAGGTTGATATCCTTGATTGAAAATATTACCTGTTTACAAGGAATTATAATAACGATATTAATTATTCTATAACTTCGTTAATTAGAACGTTAATTGTTGTTAACGTTGAACCGTACGCGTTAGTCATACACGATTGATTTAGGTATCGAGATTGCTTGAACCAGTGATAAAGAGATATTTATATAAAACTTATTAACAACATATTCAAATGATTTGATTTTTCCGAGTCATTCTAAGAGTATTTAGACATCACTGATTAATGCACTCCCAAAGAGGGTTGATGTCAGGCAGGCGGCCGGTCGTAAAAACAATTAGCCAAAACTATTCACAACATGTAAGGCAGACCCTGGCTACAGCCGGGAAATTGCCAGGTAGAAGAAGTATATAAATATTAGGTAGTAGGTACAGATAGGACCTTGTATCATGCGTAACCTACTTAACATGAACTTTACCATAGTTTAAATCGTAAATTTAACTTAACCTAAATTCGTTAATCATACTCATAATGGTGTTTTATGACTGTAACACGATTAAACTGTACGTTTACCGTCTTTATGAAAACTCATACTAATATTAAGCGACGTATCCACAGACAGAAACCTTACCCAAGTAAGGCCTAAGTTTTATATAAATTAGATTATTTTATACGGATTCATTGTATTGTAATAAATTACGTAATACCAGGATAAATAGTAAGAACAATGTGGCTATAATTATAGTATTTATATAAATTCTTTGTATTTTGTTATCATTAAGATGCCATTACATTTCTAGACCGTGAATATCTTGACTATCGTTGACTCTGTTTTTCCTCATACAATATTGTACTGTACTGTGTACATATGTTTAATCATTAAGGGCAGAACTAATGTTTATTTCTACATATCGGTAACTTTTCGGTTTCAATTTATTTAGGCATTTTTTTTAAATCATTACTCTCAGATTCTTGTATATATATAAAAGAAAATTGTGTTAGTTACACTATTTATAACTAAAGAACGGCTGTACGGATGTGGTTGAAATTTGGTGGGGAGATAGCTTAGACCCAGGAGACGGACATAGGATATTAAATTTTGTTCGACAGAAACAAAAAATACTTAATAAATCCCAATATCTGATTATTTACGGCCTCTAGGGCGCTATAAAGTTCGCCCGATCATCTATACATATATTACTAATTCCGAAATTAAAGCGAACAAAGTCGCAGGCAAAAACTAGTTATATAAAGGTACACCAAAAACTATACTACTTCCTGGCTGCTCATGTTAAATTCCAGTTAAACTAAAAATACAGCAGTTTAATGTATGAAACAAGACTTCTCGTATCCAAACAAAAATTATTCTTACAAAATGCTGCATGTCCGTAATTAGAAAACGCGTGCGATAAAAGTAATGGCTTCCTCAAAAAAACAGACATCACGATAACACGAGATAAACCTGGAAACATCTGCTGTATTTGGACCTGTTTAGATTACTATACGCAATACTGTATGTATGTATTGTATACGTGGCACCAATACTACTACTAATACGACTACTAGTAGTATTTAGTACTAATACGCCTTACTGATATTAAGAATAAATATCTGTTTTTTATATCACGTAAAAATGCAAAAAAAAATGTTTCCTTACAAATAGTTTTATATTTCTTTCAATTGTATTACATATTTTATTTGTGAATGTTTTTGTTATTATTCAATATAATTATAGGAAAATTTGGATTTTTATTAGACGAAGTCATGGCCAGATGCTAGTGAGAAAATATTATCAATTTCTTAATTTTATATACAGACATAATTTTTTTTTTTGAAATAATAGTGAAAAAACAAAAATATATTTACCTTAAATTTACTTAAATAACATTTTTAAGATCTTTAAGATTAATTATATCCGAAAATAGTCTTAAATTAATTGCATTTTCCCGTAAAAGGTGTATGTGTCGAGCGGCTCTGTTTGGGAATTTAGTTCTAGATTTTTTATAATTAAACGAGATAGCAAATACTAGGATGAGATTAGAATATTTATAAAATTTTGAATACGATGTCAATAATAGCTAAAGTAAACCTCAAAAAAAAATGAAATTAGAATTAAAAATCACATTACATACATAAAGAATTTTAATCTACCTATCTTTATAAATTGCTGTATTATTATATTTTAAAACAATCTTTTGTATATGATCATACAGTATTATATGGTTACTGCTAGTTAAGAAGATATATATAAAAAAAGAAATCTTTCTTTGTACAAGCAAGTACCTACTTTTAAAACTTAAAAATGAGTCACATTTTAGACTCCGACAGACACTGCGCAAAACAAATCAATTAATAAAATACTATGTATGAAGGTTAAACGAATGGATTCTTAAAAGGACTTGATTAATTATGTAACAATACATAATATACTAATTATAAATTATAATATATGTATATACTAATATATAATAAATGTATATTTTTTACTAGGCCTATTTATATAACAAATGGCTAATTATATAAAAATATATACATCCATACTAATATTATAAATGCCAAAATAACTCTGTCTGTCTGTTACGCTTTTACGCCTAAACCGCTCAACTGATTTTAATGAAATTTGGTACAGAGATGGAGTTGACCTTGAGAAAGAACATAGGATAGTTTTTATCCCAGACTTTTGAAAGGTTCTCTTGGAAACGTTATATAACCGAACTCCATTCGGGCGAAGCTGCGCGGAAAACTAGTGTTTTAATAAATTAACTTGTAAGGATATTCTATTTGAATAGCATGTTTTAATCAAATGCTTCGTAAATACTAAATATATATCCAGAGTTCTACACGTTCTAATGTCAAAGGTTAGATAAAACTGGGAACGCACTTGACCGATTTCATAAGAGGTTGAGTCATGTTGCGGAATATTTTATACAAATTTACAATTTTTTTAAAAATAAAACTGATATTTTTTCGAATTAACGCTGCGAAGTAACCGAAACGGCGGGAGTATGCTGTTAAAAATGACTTTAACCGCGTTGTAAATACGAAATATATTAGTTTCATTTCAATGAATGCTCGCGAAATTTTAGATATCTTTATGAAAAACGTACCAAATCTTAACGAATATTCTAAAAAAAGCGTTTTTTAAACATAATAATATTATCAAACATTTCGTAAACAATCTTAATCAACGTGTATGTATGTGTAATAGTGGTATTATTGCTTACCATTTCTCTCTTCAAATAGACCAGCTGTGAGTCGAGGTCAGTGGGGGGCTCCTGTGAGGGTGCTGGCCCGGGAGGGTCCAAGAGATCGTCAGCATCAGCGAAACCACTTAGACTCTTGGGCAGCGGTGGCAATCCTTGGAGCGACATGGTGCTTATAGCACGAAACTGCTTACGTAATCTACATACAAAAAATATACTTAATATACAAATAGAAGGGATAAAGATTATTATATATTATTGTATAATAATTTTTTTACTGTTGCTAACAGTACGCATTCCATCAAGCTCAGTGGATTTAAAAACTAATGTAATTTGTACGTCACGGCTAAAGCGACGCCTTATAACTGCGCATACTTGGCGAGATCGGGTTATATATGTGTATAAAAGACGATAATTTTATATACAATAAAATGGCGTTATAAATATTTGGTTGATTTTAAAGCTATTCATATTGTAAACAAATGAATTTCGCCGTTTCGTAATTAACGGATGACCGAACGTACATTCACTAACTATTAATAGAATGCCTATTAATAGAATACTTTTACTTGACGCAGTGCCCGAGTACGAGTTCCGTGGATAACGTGAAGTTACATAGTTAACTCAGGGACACGCGTTTCACTTAAACATTACCTAATATATAAAAAACTAGCTCGATAACTTCGTCAAATTCTCGCAAAAAAAAATTAAGTTATTATAAAATAAACTATTTCTTTCTTATGTTAGTCACAGTTATTTTTTATTTCACTTCTAAACATTTGTCCACAAACAATAAAACAAAAGGCGGATTTAACTCGCCGTACTAAAGGTTAGCTGTAAACACTTATTGTTTGTATCTATAGATATTTTAAGGAATAGCAACTGTGAATACAATAGTTAAAAACAGAATGGCTTATAAATCGGTCCAAATATACATTTAAATCCAGGTCTCCAGCTAATTTTAACCGAAATTATATCATAAATATTAATATCATTGTATGTGTGATGTAATATATTAATATTATAATCATAATATTACGATTATGTTAATTATCACCTAGATTTGAGGTCGTCATCTTCCCTGATGCTCGCGTATGCTTCATCGTCGTCTATGTATTCACTGTTAATTGATTCACCGTAATTCTCTTCCTCCGAGTCACAATGCATTTCATCTTTGACATCAACAGTATCTGGTATATTGCTCTGTGATCTCATCGTTTGTAGTTCATATATCAACATTTCGTGATTATTCATGTCTTTCATTTTCTCACTCTGGTCTTCATTACCGTTCGTTTTCTCAGAATCCTTCCCTTTATCTATAACAGCGTTAGCCTCATCTTTATTATTGTTTCTGCTAGCCAGAATCTCTGAAATAAGCATCTCTGTTACTCTAGAAGTCTTTCTTTCTAATGTGTTCTTATTAATATCCTCCTGTTCTTGGTCTTTTTCAGTTTTGGTTATAGTTTTTTCTTCTACTTGTAATCTGTCTTCAACTTGTGCTACATCTTCGACAGTCGCGTAACACGCTTCACTGGCCGCCGTTTCAATAGGTTTTGCATCCACCGGTAATGAATACAGACCGACGCTCGGTTCCTTGTGTTGTTTTCTCGGTTCTGTGTTTGTTTTCTGTGCGGGAAGTTGTTTCATCGGTTTCAGCTTAGGTTTAGGTGACAGCGGTGGCGGTGGTGCTTTACGTAAAGGTAAGGTCTTTTCGGCGAAACTAGATGATTTCGATACCTTGCACTTGGTGTCTTGATCTAATTTATTAGACGTAGAAAGAGATCGGATTAATATTTGTCTACATGTTTTGACGGCTTTGGAGTTGAGAGATTCATTTGATTTATTCGACGTAGGTGATTGTATTGAGCTGCTGTCGCTGGAACTTCTCCTGGAGTTCGCTCCACTGGACTTCCTCTCGTCCGATGAAGAGCTCCGGTCACTGATAACGTCTTTAATGAATGACTTGACGCGCGCGAGTCCATTTTGTCGAGGCGACACGGTTGGTTTGATCGACGTCGTATTCCTGTCCAATGTTTTGGCCCTCGATGAAACATGGGTCATTTCATTTTTGGTGAAAGTGCGGCTTTTCAGCGTCGCTTTAGAATCCGCGACCGCTTTCCTCGTCTTCGCCAGAGCCTCGGCCACCATACTCTGACTGGGTCGCGGAGGAACAGGTGGAGGTCCTTTTATTTTCGTGGTCTTCATAGGTTGAGCGTTAGTATGTACCATCAGCATGCTTAAACTAGGCGTCACTCGGACAATACTATATCCCGAACACTATAGTATAATGAGCGTAGTTATATGAACATCACGTAAGTCACGCCATTCGCGTAAACACCAACACTATGCACGTCCGAACGCTCAAGAAGCGCAACACCGACTGAGGAGCGAGGACTGGCTATTCCGTAGTGCGCCCGACGGACGATGATTCAGGTTTGAGCATGCGACGAATTTGTCGCACCACTTTGTCTTTATGCATTAATGAATAACTGCGTGTCCATATCGATTACCGCTTTCAAAGTATACAATAAATATAATAACAAAACAACGGAGATATTCAAACAAGAGTATTCAATATCGTATCAATCACATAAACAATAGATTTAAAGAATCTTAAACAAGACAATTTAAGTATATCACTGTCTATAGACTGAGACAATAGGTTAAACAGCTTAGCGCGTGGTCGCCTCTTGTTTACTATGCGAACTGCCGGTCTCCGGGCGACACACGGCCATTATACGCTAGTTTTGAAAGTACTAAGTGACCTATTGTTTCATGAACATCACATTACGACCGCTTGTGAGAGGGAACTTTGATGCAATATTATAAACAATATATCGCTATTATGAAACATATTTGGTTTAGTGGTTTTAGGATAATGGGTGAGTAAAAAATTATGGTTTATGTTACAATCTACAATTGGCGAATTTAATATAATAATTATTGAGTTTAAAATCATTTGTCGTCAAATATAGCGTCTTACTCAACTGTTTCACTGTTTTATATTAATAATAATCATTTTTTATTTCAAGGTCTTTAGAAAAAAATTATCTGTTATGCGCGTATTTCCCATTACAAGTGTAATGTGTTTCGTATTAGTGTTATTTATATGAACGACGCACTTACTACTCGTATGGTTAAGTAATATTAAAAAAACGAATGCAATAAACAAGAGAGCGAGTTATTATCTGTTGCTTACTGAGATATTTAATTATTATAGACAATAATAACATTGTAATCTGTAAGCTTAAAATGTATTTAAAAAAATATTTTAGGTAGATCTATAATATATAGGCATTCCAGAAAAAGTACAAAATTTATGTATTCTCTACTAGTAATAAGCTCAACTTCTAGTAAGTTCAGCCATGTAAAGTCAATAAATGCTTTAAATCCGTATTTTAATTATTCCAAATAAAACTTTCATACAACATTATTTTTTGCCCGCAACTTCGTACTTACGGACTTCGGAACAAGGCTCATAGAGCGATGTGTTGAGAGACTTAAAACAATAGGCATGCTAACCAAACGCAACTATATCTTAGGTCACGTGACTACGCACACTTATACCCCTCAGGATTTAAACAGATTTCCGGGATGAATTAATGCTCATGTCTCATTCTGATGCCAGAACTATATTACGATGATTTTTTATCAATATCCGTTAAGTAGTTTTTACGTGAAATAACAACAAAAATCATTCATCATCATCCCTACATTAATATATGCATACAAACTCACAAAACTTTAGCAATTATAAGTATACTTAAAACTTATACCTAAGAATATTTAACACTAACGAATAAAGGTTCATAAAGAAGCTGATACCAGAAATTATATCCACATTTTTAAACATGTTTATTTTTTTTATGTATAAGAGAAAAGTTACAGTACATAAGATATTAAGTGTTCTTAAACATTATTTTGCCTTAAAACTTGAAAAAGTTAAACTAAATAAAGAAATTGCAATAAGATGTTTTATATAAGTGTCAATTTTTTTTCAAATCAATATATACTTGACACACCTGCAATGTTTTAAACACAACTATTTCTAGAATTTTATTGACAGAGATGTCTTAAATGTATTTTCATATTTTAGGTAATTCCTATTTATTAGAACCATTAAATATTTTTTAGTTCATATTTTGGTAAAAAACTCTTATATTTTCATATTCAATATTATGTACAAAATGGTTGTAATTGTTTATATAGATAAGTCGAAGTCTCTCTCTTTTAGTAATTGGCATTTCCTTTTAGATTTCGTCAATGTCATGTGGGAATAGGTTTTTTTCAAATTTGGTTAGGTAGAAAGAAGAGCTTTGACTGTGATGGTGAGGGATTTGTGAATGAACATGGTCGCAACTAGAAATTAAATACTTTAATATTTCTGAGATTGTTCTATGTGGGGTATCATATTCACAATATTCTACTGTCAAATTCAATGTTGTACCAATCAAATATTTCTTGACTATGTCCCTTCACCACCAGGTCACATTTGCAAACTAAACAAAAAATGCTCTTTTACAATCATAGATCTTTCTAATCTATTCTTAGAGGCATATTGCTTATAATTTTTGAATATTAAACTGAGCTTCTAGAGGGAAAAATTACAAATAAAAATGTGTTTTCATATGTTTTCAACATGTTAATATCAATGTAAATGTATATGAAATATTGTCAACTGTCTGAATGAAGTTTGACAATGAAAACTTGTAGTAATCATAAGGATAATCAGTAACTGGTCTATTTATTCAACACAGGAATATCCAATAATTAACTACAACTCTGAATTAATTAGTAAAATTGAATGTATTAATTAAACACTATATATTTTGAATATGAATTACAAGTATTGAAATTTCAGCTTCTTCCTATCTACACTGGAACTTCACTGACATACAAACTTATGTGTTTCTTGTCACAATGAAAGAAGAAGGAAACATAGAGTGTTATTTAAAGAACTAACTGATGAAAGTCAATAGTATTTATATAGAACTGTGATTATAAGAAACAATTGTTTTTAAAGTGACTCATAAATAACACCTGCTTGTTCATAATTATGACAATAATAACAGAGTTTTTATACATTATTAATGTAAAGAAACTAAGCAAAAAAACTTTATATCTCTATAATGACCATCACATTTATTGGATGAAATGCTTTACAGATTTTTTTTGCATAACAAAGGGGGCAAAATAGCAAACAATCTATCTGACAGAGGTTATTCCATTGCTTATGGACATCCAATAAAGTATTCTGCAGATGCATTGCCACCTTAGATTGTGGAAAAGGGTGGGAGATGGGAAATTGCAGATTATGTACAGCATTTCTAATTTATAAATAGTAATCAACTCACTTCACTTGTTGTTAAACTTCCAATCCTGTCTGCACATAGGACACTGCTGTTGAGGTTGTGAGTGTAGCCACTTCACTATACAATGTATGTGGAAGCAATGGGAACACGCTCCCCAGACCAATGGACACTCGTCACCAGGCAATTTGCAGTCCGGACAGCAACTATCGAAAGGCATACGACAAATGCCACAGTTATCGTCGTTAGCTATCCATCTCCAAGTAGCTACGCCAGTCCAACCTATGAAATTTTATTTTAATCGTTATATAATCTCATATAGCCAGAAAAACCAACGGCCTTCCAGAATTAAGAACTTAAGAAAAACAAAAGTTCCCAAGAAGCGGGAAAGGCTTGAAATTTTTACTTACTTTTAATAGTCACTTTCATAGCGCTTAGCGAACATATCGCAAATTGCAAAAGTAAGACTCAAGTTCGAAATAATAACGGATTTTAATTACTAGAAGAGATAATTAACAAAGATTATTAACATAAAGCATAAACACAATCGATTAAATGTCGTTGGCGGTGAATTTGACATTTCTTTCATAAAATATGGTGTGAACTGTGACGTAAGCCTTATACGTTAATGATTTTATTTCTACGTTCTTATAAAAATATAAATTCATTTATTTTTCGAATGGAAAATGTTACAGCAAAGTCAAAAAATAACTGAAAATAGTCCTACAAATCGTTAAATAATCATAATCAATAATATTATAAACTATTTAGAGTAAGATCTAAATTGGATTATAATATACAAAACGATTTACCTAAACTTTATATAAAACTATAATATTTATATAATATATAATTTGACATAGAACTCTTCTGAAAACACAAATACGTTCCGTTATTTCCTCTACAGTATAAATGAAAAGCACCCAGTCAATATCTTGTCAAATCCTTGAACGGATTTTTGAAGTTGTCAAAATTTTGACAACTCAATATTAATAAATGTTCTGTGAATACTGTTTGATGTGTTGGAATTATTTTTGAAAGGAATATTTAACTTTTTTCTAGTGCAATTAATATTTCAACTAGTTTGTCAAATTACAAATAATCGATAATGACTACGTTTGATTCTAAATACGATGTAAGTCTTAGCGAATATGTTGATCCTAGTTTTTGTACTGTTGATTTTGTTTCTTATAATGATTATATTAATTAAATGAATTTGAATCTATACATTCCTTCGTTAATCAGTTATATTTCCTGGAGCTTACAAATCTTTGTTCACTTAATTATATCTATTCTCCGTTGAAATAGTTTCTGAATATATAATTATTATCAACAATAAGTGAATATCGTATTCTTGTTATCATCATAAATATGAAATATTATACGAATTTCAACAAACAAGTTTCTACGTTACGTTAATAAAGTACTAAAACTCTGTTAACAAAGTACATTAAAATATCTGCCCACAAAACATTGTACAAATATAATCAAACACACACAAAATATAATTAATGTTGTAATTGAGATATGCAGTTTATAGAAGGAAAATTTTCACTAGCTCTTCACTTTAAATCTTTGCAATATTAAGATTTAAGGTAATAATATAACAAACAAACAAGGTAATTTTTATTTAATGATTAAAATATCTTCCAGATGTTTCCGGCCGGTGATGTGGGTGTGGTTGAAGGTGAGATGAACATTCCATCTCATGGGGGTCAAACCGGTGATAGCATGGAGTTTAACACACTTGATGAACCCATCAAGGAAACATTTGTTAGTATTTTCACCTTAACATTACTTCAGTGCCTATAATAATATAATTAATAATGCATATATATCTTGGTTTAAATACAGTCAACACTCAAGACTTCCTTATCAGAAATAAGTTATTTTAATAGATGTTTAGTTTAATATCTGTATAGATTAATTTATCAGTAGAATAGTTATTATAGTTACATATAATCTTTAATTGAAAAACCAAATAGCTTTTCTGTTGTAAAAGGACTATTTTTCGATATATTTATACTTTCATTAGGTTTTCCAAAGATCAGGCTTGCCATAAAGTAGAAGTCGGTAGAGTACTAGGTAGATACTTGATACTGAGTGTACTTGGTGGGTTCTTTGACACTTATATTTGAATGGTTTGAATGCTGAGTATACTGTCTCTAAGAAAAACAATTTATTTAGATAGATATAATTAAAACAACAGCATTAAATAAAAAGTATATATTTCTCATTTATAAAATTATTGATAATTGCAATTAATAAAATCAAAATTGGACTAATGAATGAGTAGTAACAAGAAAAAATAAAGAGATTGGCAATACAAATCGAAATTTGATTACAGAGTTAGTTGCTTGGCCGAATTCCAATTGATAGAAACATTTGCTGAGTAAAACTTTGTATTCATTATTTGACCAGTGTTTCTTGGCGCATCTCTACCATAAAGGAACTAAAAAAATGGATAAAACAATATAATAAATTGCATAGTATAGTAATTGTAACCATAGTTTCATTTAAATATATGATCTTAGACATCATTTTTAACATATTTTTGTTCTTTTTTTAGCTCAGAGATCTCAGAGCTGTTGGTAACAAATTTTATCATGTCCTCATACCTAGAGAAAAGACCAGTCTTTTAAAAGAATGTAAGTTGTTTTATTTTAACACTTATTAAAACTTTTAATTTAAATATAAGTATATAAGTATGTGTATATGTCAACTTTTTGTATTAATTAGTTGCATCATTATTATTTTATTAGCTGTTAGCTGCTTTAATAGACAATTATTACATATATTTATATGTACTTACTTATACAAGGTGTGTTATCCGCTTGCTTGGTGTATCATAAAATCAAGAAGTTTAAAATGTTTATTGCTAACACCCCCTAATTATTATTGAGTAAGAGTTATTCTAAAATTCGCTCCTAGAGAACTTCAACGGGATCTGTAGGAATTCTATTAAAATTTTGAGAATTTAGGAGCTATATTTTAAAAATGGGAATTTTTCATTGTCAATACCCCTGCAACAGTTCTTGTAAGTAAAATTTCATAAAATTCGTTCCACCAAATTTCAACTGTCTATACCTTATGGTAGTAGACATATCGTGATGAGTCCATATATCAGTGGAAATCCTTTACATACATATAACATACATAATGAAAGTTAGATTTAATGAGCAAAATAATATATAAAACTTTTAATCAATATTACAGGGGATCTGTGGGGACCGTTATTACTTTGCACATTCATGGCCACAATCCTCCAAGGTTCAACGGAAATTGCTGACAATTCCAATGACGGTGGGCCGGAATTTGCTGAGGTCTTTGTCCTTGTATGGATAGGAGCGGCTGTTGTCACTCTCAACAGCAAATTGCTTGGCGGCAACATGTATGTATGGTATCTATTAAACTTTAGTTAGGATCAGTGGCGGCCGGTAGGTAATCGAACCGGTGGTGCACTTTACGATAATATTAAAATTAGAAAATGCAACAAAACATAACGAGATGTCAATCATGGCTCAATTCGTCATACATCGGGTGCTCTCGGTAATCCTCGGCCGCTCGTGCGGCGCTCGAAAACCGACTCATTACTCGGTACATTTCTATGAACGATCTTTTGTTTCACGCGTCAGGCGTATGTATTCCTATCTCATACAAGATGTATTAGTAGTCCTCGTGCACTCGCCGAAGCGCACGATACGAGTTTAGTTTAGCGCTCAAACTTTTTGATACGTTTTTATATGTTTAAAAAATAAATATTAAGAGACGAAACCTCTTAGCATTCAATGGATTCACCGTGCGGGTGCCGGGTCCATCGCGTTGCAGGGAGAGGAGCTTCAATAGTGCCTGGGACTTGCGACCCAGGTGTAGGTTTAAGGGGCCCCTCAACTAACGCGCGTTATACGCTCACCTCCACTGTCCAAGTTCCTCTCCCTACCTACCTACTAAGGCTGCCTTCGACGTACGTTCCAAGAATGAATTAATGTTAGTTCTGGACAGGCCCAAGTCTTTTAGTAGGTTATAGAGAGATTTAGCTGTTATACCTCTCGCTCCCACCTCTACCGCGTACAAATCAACGACGAACCTATTTCGAGTTAGTTCGTTAGTGAGCTCGTAATACTTATTGACCTTGATGGCATGGTCTTTGGGGACGTTGGTTTCCCAAGGCACCGTAAGCTCTATCATCACAATGGTAATTTATCAATAATGATGATGTAATATTTTGTAATTTTTAAATCTTTTGAATTGGTGGTTCAGCGCACGAGTGCACTTAAGATACAGCCACCACTGGTTAGGATAGTCATACAATATTTACTAAAAGAAGTATGATATCCAATTTTCTTTACAAATATTCACAAAAGTTAATTATGTAATAATTAGTCATTGTGTTTATGAATTTAAACTTCTAAAAGACAGCAGTGCAATTATATAGTAATAAAATATTAATAATAAGATTAAGTAATGAACACTAGAATTAAACACGGAAACTTTGCCATTTTGTTGCCATATAAGACTTTTTACAATGTATGGGGTACCACATATACAGGGTGACTGGTAAATTACTATCAATATTTAAGGAGAATACTCGGTACATGATTCTCATTCGAATTATGTAAAAAAATAGGTACTTAGTTTTTGACCAAATTTCCGTATAAATAAATAAAGTGTGGACACGTTCCAAGTGTGGACGCGTGTGGCGGCGTGCTGATACAATACCACGCCGCCGCACGCGTGTGTGTGTGTGTGTATACCTAATCTGTAGTGTTCACACGATGCGTAGTTAATTACATAACTTTTGGTCAACTTTACTTAGAAGTTTATTAATATTTATGTTATATTAATTTTTATTTTGTCATATATGATCGTCAAATATCACGTCCTCAAGTATCGATAGTAATTCACCAGTCACCCTGTATAAAAAAATATAGTTGGTAACAAAAAAATATTTATTTTTAATATACATTTTAGACAATGAATTCAAACCAATTCCAATTCAACTTTAAATCAGATTTAGAAGGTATCGAGAATTGTCGCCGATATATTGTGAGTGTTTTCTTTATAAATGTGTTTAAAGCATGTATTATTTCTGTTTCAGATCATTTTTCCAGTCGGTCTGTGTGTTGGGATACTGTTTATGTCCGATCGCTATATCTCTTGTTGTATGTCGCATCATACTTTTCACGACACAGAACTCATTCCTCTTCTTCCTAAGACTTGTTATATCTATGATCGGATTCGCTTGGGCTACTTTTGGTAAGTATATTTTTTTCATATTAGTTCATAGACAAGGTAATCATATATGCTTATAGGTACTTGAATAAATTGTTGGTTATCATTTTCAAGTAACTTATATTTAAGTTTAAATTACTGGAAACCTTTAGTGATCTTAAATGGATATAATTCAAAACAATGTTTATTTTTCAAGATAATTTATGTTTTAATTTTTGTAGCATCTGTGGAATATTTTTAATTGTAATTTATTAGTTTTGAGTTATAGATGATAAATAAATAGCATATTAAAGACATAATAGAGTAAAACATTATGATAGTTCTTTTTTTATATAAATCTTTTTTTTCAGCGGCAACAAAATTCCTCGGTGACAGTCAACCAGAAGGAAAAAAAGGTCTAGCAGTATTTCCTATATGTCTGTTCTATTTCATACTCTCCTGGCTCGTCGTGTCGCACAATAACGTTTAGATTCTTAATAATAGTTATATGAATAGAATAATTTGTGAATAATTATTAGCTAAGTCAATAATTAAGTTTTCTAAACGCTACATGATGTAATCTATTTATTTAGTGTTGCTCTATTTAAAATAATAATAAATGTCCAAATGATTATTGATGTGGACGACATTTTTGATTTATTTTACATTCCATAATAATGTATCAATTTATTGATGGTGACTTTTGTACATACGAATAAATAAAAAGAACTGTTTTACGTCTGTTGTAAATTTTATTGAATACATTCAAAAACATATAGTGTATCTAAAAATACGTATAATTCGAGATATTCAGTACGCGATGGCATATTTCATAATTTTTTGGACTAGCATATTGAATTTAGATAAAAATAAACAAATATATTTAAAATAATTTAAGGAACTAATGCGAAAAGTATTTAATTCTATTCCAAATATATTACAACAGGTTTTTATTGTGTTCAAGTAATGTGGATGTGAATTTACAAAGAATTCTTTATAAACACGAGTCAGTAATCACAATGATATAAAATATTTGGTGTATGATAAAATAGCTGCTACGAAAAACTACTCTACTTCATTAAAATAAATACAACCATCTTAGAAGATATTTTACTTAAATAAATATTTTTTGCGAAAATAATTCACATATATGTACGTCTAAAACATCTAACGGCTACAATGATTAGGATTTAGAAGTTATACAATATTAATAAACTTACATACCAAGTTTTCTGTGCAGGAGAGACTAATAATTGAATTTGGGTTCTCATGAAGCCTTAAATTATAATATCACTACTCTATCACATATGATACTGTCTACTCAAACATCCTCACACGCCATACTAAACTAACATATAAATATTGTTAAACTACCACAAACTCAATACAACGATCGATTAAATAAAAATTATATAAAAAAAAAAATTTTGGTAGAAAATTTCAGACTTGATTTAGGGTTGTAGAGATGTTAAAAAATTTCTAAACGTCAACTGACATGTTAAGTTTCCGAACGTTAAAATCCAAATGGCGTTAGTTTTAATTGGATTCAGATCCGCTTGAAGATTTTTCTGGAGTGCAGGGCGGAGTGTGTCGAGGGGATCTTTTAGGTATTTGATAGGACATATGCATTTGAATAGTATCGCGAGCTAATCTGGCGTTTTTGTATGTGAGTGAGTTGGCTCTAGGCTTGCGATTAGAGAAATGTCGTTCTACCCACTTTAACATGGCGAGCACTGAATCCGTTGATGACAGACGGCGTTCAGCTGACGTTTTCGTTATAGTTGATGATGCTATACGGAATGTAGCCGCCATGCCTTTCAGAGCCTGTTAATTAAAAATATAATTTTAAATAAAACTAATATTTTTTGGATGTACTACGCGACTTATTTTTCATAAAAAAACGTTTCGGCTACTTTCCATCAACCGTGATCACATTAACATCTCATCTGCCCGTTATCACGGTCGCTGAAAAGTAGCCGAAACGTCTAGAGTATGTAGTTTTTAATAAAAATAAAGTAGCGTTGTATATCCAAAAAATATTATTTCCATTTTAATAAATATGATAGAAGGAAATCATAGATCTCATTATATTATGATAATAATTTTCTACCATAATACTTGTATGACATTTGGCAGACCCTGGCTAAAGCTGGGAAATTGCCAGGAAGAAGAATACTTGTATGATACTAACCAGCATAGCGTCTTCATCGGTGACGTCATCACCAGCGTATATAACTCTGATGCGTTCACTCCAGTCCAAACCAAAGGCTGTTCTCAAGATGTATATGGACGCACGACCTAGAAAACATTATTTATCAGTTAATATACTGGTTATTATAATTTCTACAATATAAAATGCTTATTATATATATATTTACATATATTTCAACTGGATGAATTATCACATGTCTTATAGAGGTTTACTTAATGGGGTTTGAATCCTGCACGTGTCATAATAAGTTTCTCCTTATTTATTTTAACTTCAAATTGTAATTCCAAGGTAGAAGAAATACTTTCATCTGATTTTTTTCCTAAGCAAGATCCTAATAAGCTTAATGTTATTCATATATATTAATTTCTCCCTACCTTTATTCCACTGTACGGGCGGCCTCGCTTCTATGGCGCAATGTGCGGGGGCGGGTGTAAAACCTGCGGCAGTTATTAGTTTCTTAGCAGTATTAGCTAAAGCCGCCCTTTTAGCTAGAGGAGTTTCCCGGAAGTGGAAAGTCAGTAGAGCTCCTTTATTTTCTACCCAAGCTCCATCTCGACACACCTGACACAAAACATCATTGAGAATTACGCACGAAATATTTTCTTAAGTTAGACTTTAATTATGGGGAAATTTTAAAACTTTATTATAATTCTATAACAAAAGATATTAAATTAAACATATATTTAAGTATTTCGTAAATAAAAATTATATATTTGTAGGTATAGGATAATATGTATGTTTATGTATAGAATGTAGTTATTTAGTAGAAGTAGTTTTTGCAAGTTGAAACAGCAATAAAGGCTAATTTTATTTTTATTTAATATATATTTGCAGCATATATGGATATTTGTTCCTTTTTCACTGAAATTATTAACAGATTTTGATGAGACACCCCAGTTTAACAACATATGGCTTATAATTTATTCAACAATTCCATGTATTTTCATTAGTAATACTAAAGATGGCGCTGTCAATTACTAATTAACTTATTATGTATTTTATGTAAGTATGCATCATAAATTTCTCTCTAGAATCAAAGCCTTAATGAACGCGATTGAAGACATATTGAAGGCATAAAATAGGTTAATAATATATTTAGATAATATAAATTAAGCAATACTTTGTATAGATGAAGGATTGGGTAAGATATTAAGAGAATTGTTTCATATTATTACTAACCTGTTCTTGCAACGCTTTGAGTAGATCAACAACTTTGTCTTGTAGTTCCATAGGCATGGGATGCACGAACTTACTGCCGTCCGGGTGTAATATCTCTAAGCCGTGATTACCTGCGTAAGTGATGCCCTCTATACCGACCTGAAAACAGAAATAATCACTAATAATTCAAGTGAAACTTCTTATGCGACTTCTAATAAGGTTGCGTTAAATGTTTAACGCTTTACGCTTCTAGGGGAAGATAAAAAGACACACCAATGAAGCAAGTAGGAAAGAAACAGAAATGCCTGTGGTATTTTAAATATGCAAAGAAATAAATAGTGTGAGCGTCGTGAAATTAGCTTAAATACGTACTTGTTACTCTATGTTCATTTATTTTTAACGTTGATATTTTTGAGTTTGATTTTGATACACATACAATGTAATAGTTTAGTATTTAATTTTCAAATTTATTGGTTAAGATTTTTTTTTAAATATGAACTTTCCTTTTTTTCGCGCGGAGGGACTTCAAGTACTATGTTTTTTATATATTATCAGTGTCATTAAAATGATCAAAACAAATTAGCTAAAATACCGACAAAAATACATAAATATCTTGTGGTGATTGCACACTAGCTTTGAAACAAATATTAAATAAATAAAAGTAATGGGGGTATAGCGATAAATACATTGACTTTTTATATTGTTGATGTTTAATAGGAAAATCGGCCAATGGGCGTGTTATGCAAGAGATACGGAGACCCAATTGGAGGTGTAATGACCGTGATATGACAATATAAATATTTTTATTCATTGATAAGGAGGTCGAGGTTCAATATATATCTTTATATTGCAAATTGACTGAGATTTTTTTATTCAAAATATTTTGTTAATATATCTCAACGGTTTTTCTATGCAACTTATTGGATAGAAAGAATGGTTAATTAAATATTTATCTAGCTTTAAAAAAACAACTACAGGTTAACAATTAGCTTAATATAAAGTAATTAATATCATGAAAGTTTGCTCATTTAGCTAAATCGACCTACTATAGAAATGAAACGTTTTATTACTAAAACAATATTCAAGAGAGTTAAAATTTTGTCCTATTTATCTGATATCGAGACAGAGCTCTACTGTTCCCACAAGTTTCTTTGCCAAAAATTGTCTTATATAAATATTAGTTTTTAATGATATTCGTCAAAAGTTGACAAGTGATTTCAACTTTACTACCCTACAATAAGTTACAAAATACTTAAACCATTATTATCTTCACTACTGTGTGATTTAGCAAAATCTATGTCAATCTTAGCAATATTTTGGTTTAATGCTCACCAATCTAATACATCCGGCAGCTAAAATACCATTTAATATAAACAACAGGAAGAAGATTAAATTTTATAAAATCTTTTAACGTATTTTTCGATACAAATAATAGTATTTGAATAAAATTATATATTTGTATGGAAATATGAATTAATTAAAAACGATAATGTCTCTAAGAGTCCGTCAGTGTGTAGGTACAATTGTTATCTTGTGCAAACATTATAATAATCTTCGCCTAAATGTATCGTGACCCACATGACTCAAACGTAGGTACATTTGCATCATTTGTATTATTTTTCCTCGTCTTATCACACCACAATTACTTTGTGATAATTGTGGAGATTCTTATTCAAACTTTCGGCAACAATTCAATGTTTCCTGATGTTGTATGTAAGTTATTATAGAGCCCATTTTGAGAATATTAAATATATGACGTCATCAATGGCCTATTAATTCAGATGTTAGTAAAAGCATGTATTTTTGTTTATGGCAGTATTATTTCTAGTCAATCATCCCTACTAATATTATAAATGCGAAAGTAACTCTGTCTGTCTGTCTGTCTGTTACGCTTTCACGCCTAAACCACTGAACTGGTTTTAATGAAATTTGGTACAGAGATAGAGTAGACCTTAAGAAAGAACATAGGATAGTATATATCCCAGACTTTTGAAAGGTTCTCTTGGAAACGCGATATAACCGAACTCCACGCGGGCGAAGCTGCGGGCGAAAAGCTAGTAGATTGTAAAGGATAGCAAGACTTGGCTGAACAAAATTACTTCCCTAACTACGAGATACAGATTAAATAAAAAAGTATAGTGTGATTTTCATTCTATACCTATTTTGATATAAGAAATTACGAAAATCATTAATGAATTATTTAGTTTGATATGCAAACACATATGTTATTTATTTATCAAGATAGTTCTCACCATTTCCTTGACGTTGTTGACGTTTCTACCGGAAACGATAGCTATATATACGTCAGCCATATTGGATAGTCTTTGTAAAGTATTCTTTGTTTCAAGCGGTAGTTTCGCGAGGTCCGGATGTGGCGCTATTGGAGCCAGGGTCCCATCGTAGTCTAGTAGTAAAGCCAATTTCTGGGTGTAGCCAATGTATCTAGAATTATATAATAACACCATGTATATGAAATGTAATATAATCTAGCAGAGTATATGAATATTGACGAAATAATTTAGAGGAATTGATGATTGAAGTGTATGGTCATTTATATAGGTTAGTATGAGAATAATCAACCATATATGTATTTTTTGTTCACATTACTATCAGTCTTATTTTAGTTGTTACAACGAGTATGTTTATAACAATTATACGTTGTAAATACGAAAAATATTAGTTTTATTTCGACACATCTGTTTATGAATTACGTCAAACTATCCGTACGTAGTGTCGTTCGTGCTAAGGTACTCACTTGGATAGGTATTCGTCGAAGTCGTCAATAGTAACGGGCTGCATGGAGGTGGCTCCGATATCATCAGCTTCTTCTTCTAATGAGTCCATGGCTTTAAGGAACGCCTTCATCCAACTGTCCACGTCGTTTTGTTGTTCCCGTCGCCTTAGATGATTCATACGAACAGTACGCTCGTCTTCTGGCATTATCAACGCCCTGGAATATATGGATATTAAATGTATTAACGTTGATATCCCTACTTATATTATAAATGCGAAAGTAACTCCGTCTGTTACGCTTTCACGCCTAAACCACTGACTGATTTTAATGAAATTTGGTACAGACATAGAAATGACCTTGAGAAAGAACATAGAATAGTTTTTATCCCAGACTTTTGAAAGGTTCTCTTGGAAACGCGATATTATTTGGAGTTTGAATTATGTAAAGGATAGGAAATTTTATGAAAGGAAAACAAAGGGAAATATTACTTGCAATATACATAGTTGGGATGTGATTGAGAATATGAACTTCAGTATCTTTAAACATTAATCTGATTAAGTTCTAGTTAGTGAATAAGCATTATGTGTCTTACATATGATTTTAATTCAAATTATCTAGACATTTGTTTGATAGACGTAAATATTTACCTGTGAATAACTTCAGCGGCGTCGTCTAGCTCGTACGGGTTACATATCAGAGCTTCGTGCATCATCTCACCAGCGCCAGCGAATGGTGACACTATCAATACACCAGGAGGCTTCTTTATCTGGCAGGCCACGAATTCTTTGGCGACCAGATTCATACCATCCCGTAGCGGAGTGACGAGAGCTACGGCGGCATCACGATAGAAAGCGGCAAGTTCATCTTGACCCACGCAACCGTATATGTACCTGGAAAAACACCTTTAATACATACGAAATACGAGTTATGTCAAGTATATAAAACTAGCGCCCCGCGGTGTTATTCCTGTTAAAGTAGCCTATATGTTATTCCTGGATATCAGCTTCCTGTATACAAAATCTTATCAAAATCGGTTCAGCCGTTTGAGCGTGAAGAAGTAACAAACATACACTCAGAAACTTTCGCAATTATAATATTAGTAGCATAGTATATACCTTATTGGTGACCAGTTCGGTGTGGTGAATCTTCCGTTTATTCTGCCGACTAATTGATCCATTTCTTCCTTTAAGTCCTGGTATTCTTTGACGTCGGTTCTCGATGGAACTGAGATCTGTAGTAAAACAACTTCCTCTCTATGTTCTGGGTGTTTTTCAAGCAGTCTCTCAAAGGCTTTCAGTCTGTGTACTAAGCCTTTGGTGTAATCCAATCTATCTACACCCAATAAGACTTTCTGGTTCATAAATAGGACTGGTTTTGCATTCTGGGCTAAAGAGACAAATCGGTCGAAGGGCACGCCGATAGGTAACGGCCGCACGCAAATAGTACGACCTCCTAACTCAACAAGAAGATTCTTCCTATCGACTCGGCAACCTAAATTTCTCTGGCAACAATCTATGAAGTTCAAACAGTAGTCAGTTATGTGGAAGCCGACCATGTCGCAACCTGGAAACCAGAATTCCTTAATTAGGTGTAAAATTTTAATGCGTACTTAAATTTAGGTGTAAATCTACTCACCCAAGATTCCTTGCAAGACTTCATCGGACCACGGGAACAGTCTGAATATATCCCAAGGAGGGAAGGGTATGTGTAGGAAAAATGCTAGTTTGCATCTTATTTCGTCTTCTTCCGCTCTTTGTCTGATCCAATTAGCCGCTAACATCAGATGATAATCGTGAACCCACACTATGGGCGGGGAATTGCCGCTCTTTTCCTTGCTGTCTTTTAAGAGTTTAAGCGCGTAGATGGTCTTTTCGGCGAATTGCTCATTGATTTTCGAATACGCTCGCCAATGATCCGCGATGAAGGTGGCCCGGTCCGGCATAGAGTGGAACAACGGCCAAAAAGTGCCATTGCAACATCCATTGTAGTAGCTGTCAAATAATTTCGGTTCCGCGTGAATGGCCACGATCTGGAATTATTTTTATTCGTCATCATTTGCCAAAGAAATTTACATTATACAGGGTGACTGGTGAATTACTATCAATATTTAAGGAGCATACTCGGTACATGATTCTCATTCCAATTATGTAAATAAAATAGGTACTTAATTTTTGACCAAATTTCCGTATAAATAAATAAAGTGTTGACACGTTCCAAGTGTTCCAAGTGTGGACGCGTGCGGCGGCGTGCTGATACAACACAACGAAGCCGCACTCGTATGTGTGAGTGTGGGTGTATACCTAATCTGTAGGGTGTTCACACGATGCGTAATTAATTACATAACTTTTGGTTAACTTTACTTAGAAGTTTATTAATATTTATGTTATATTAATTTTTATTTTGTCATATATGATCGTCACAAATCACGTCCTCAAATATCGATAGTAATTCACCAGTCACCCTGTATATGTAAACTCTTTGCTCTGATCTATTTGCTGAAAATGTGACGTCATTGGTTTATCCTTAATATTGACAACAAGCATTATTTGCATTTGTTAGTATTAGCTTAACTTTATTCATCATTATGTAATATTTTATGTTTATATAAATTTGTATCAGCTCATGAGTTTTCCTGTGTACATGTTTGTTGAGTTCAATAAATAAACTGCAAGTCTTTATAAATTGTAATGGGGATATTATTCTTAAAATATCTTATCTGATAATTGTTTGAGTAATTTTCTGTTATATAAGTTTTCCATATCAGTTATTTGCAAAGGAAAATTACAATGGAAAATATAGATAAGGTGGTGCAAAGAAACTTAGCTTTCAGTTTCGTTTGTGCATGAATAATGCAACTGAATATTAATTTCATTCACAAAAGTCGCAATAATAGAAGGAAGGTATTTTTAAATATGGCCTTCATCGATGCAAAGAATAATGACAGAAATGACTTGAGTTTACTAACGGAAGGCTAACGGGTTGACTGTGACTATTTATAACAAATTTTTTTAAAAATGACGTTCGGTTTAATTCTGCTGAAGTTCGAGGTGCTAAGGCATCAAGGTAAATCTGTTAAAAAATACTATTCTAAATGAAAATAAGTATTTATTCTCTATTAAATATAATTAATAATTATTTCATTAATTGTAGAGCATCACGTGAGAGTTACGGTGATAAAGTTATAGGTTACGGTCAACTTAATCGTAAGAATGGTATTTGTGTTTTAAGAGGACGTGTGTGTCCAGAACACCGAGTTCGGAGTAAAGCTTACTCAGTTACTCTAACTATCAATGAAAAATTAAGAAGAAGAATAATAAAAGTAGAATTAATAAAATGTTATTATAACATTATAAAAAACCAAAATAACATATACTTTAAAAATTTAAATGTAGTCTGATACAGAACCTAGAATGTTATAAAATTATGAAAATATCTATTAATTGAATTCCAATTATTAGACAAACATACATATACAGGGTGACTGGTGAATTACTATCAATATTTAAGGAGAATACTCGGTACATGATTCTCATTCCAATTATGTAAAAAAAATAGGTACTTAATTTTTGACAAAATTTCCCTATAAATAAATAAAGTGTTGACACGTTCCAAGTGTTCAAGTGTGGACGCGTGCGGCGGCGTGCTGATACAACACCACGTCACGACACGCGTATGTGTGAGTGTCAGTGTATACCTAATCTGTAGGGTGTTCATACGATGCGTAATTAATTACACAACTTTTGGTTAACTTTACTTAGAAGTTTATTAATATTTATGTTATATTAATTTTTATTTTGTCATATATGATCGTCAAATATCACTTCCTCAAATATCGATAGTAATTCACCAGTCACCCTGTAGATTTACTATTTAATCGCTTTGAATTATCAATTAAAATTTTTTTAATGCTACGATTCTAAAGGTTATGATTTGGAGCCCAGGTGAAAAAATTAATTACTGAACTATACTTATTCGATTTATACACTTAGATAAATAATAATTAATAACAATATTATTATGAATACTTACAACGAAATGATCTTCACAACAAAAAAAAATTGATTTTGTTTTTGAATAATCTCGGTGCACTGCTTGAAACCATTTCTTTCGACGTTTTTCGTCTTGTGGAACATTTAAAAACATTTTTTCAGGAGTTGTTTTTGTAGTACTTGTACAGAATGGTACAAAACAAGAGCGATAACTTTTGAGTTTTAACATTTTTGATTATTTAACAAAGTCAACAGAATTTACTAGATAAAAAAACTCAAAACACTGTACTAATTATTATATCTCTGTATGCTACAATGAGCAAAAACTAACATTGTGACGTCACACGCGCTCGGGTTTATTCGCGAGCTGTCGGCGGATCTTCGGTACTGAATTTAAAATTTAATTTTTATTTTGAAATAACTTTTTAATTATTGCAAAGAAAAAATAAATAAAAATAGTTTTGTTATAAAACTTATATATGATCTTTCCATTTATCACAAAAAAAAAATATATTCAAAAACCCAATTGCAAAAACTCTTTGGAAGAACATTTATCTTAAGCGACTTTGGTGGGTTTTTATGTGATCAATCTAAGTACCAAATATTTTAAGTTCTTTCATATTAAACATAGATTATTGACATTCATAAAAAAAAATTGACTTTTCATTGTAGATGCGAAGTATTAAAAAAGACTGCTTTGAATTAATATAACATGATATTTTATATACCACCAAATACAAAGCAAAATGCTAAGGGAAGGACTTGCATTAAAACTCTAAAATATATATTTTTTAATATAATAGTTATTTACGTACAAAAAACTAATGTCCTTTCGAAAGACTACTTTTGAGACATCCCTACTAATATTATAAATGCGAATGTAACTCTGTCTGTCTGTTACGCTTTCACGCCTAAACCACTGAACTGATTTTAATGAAATTTGGTACAGTCATAGAGTTGACATTGAGAAAGAACATAGGATAGTTTTTATCCCAGACTTTTGAAAAGTTCTCTTGGAAACGAGATATAACCTAATTCAATGCGGGCGAAAACCTAGTTGTAAGATATTTCACAACGAATACATAACGTCTCATAGTAATTAATAGGAAATATAAAAACGATTAATACATATGATGATAGATTAATGTTTTATGACATTATGGTTCATATGAATCGACTGTATCGATTTATAATGACTTGGAAAACGTCGAGAACTTCATATGGAGGAAACTTAAATAAAAGAAAATTAAAAATTAGTGAAATTTTGTATCTAATAACTTTAATGTAAGAAACAAGCTTATGACCTTGTCTTCGTCAAATTTTTTTTGGTATTCGAAACAGAGAAATTAAAAATTAATGATGTATTATTGTCACGTGCCCTCAAATATGACACTACAAAAAGATGTTGCTTAAGGCAATACTTGAATTTTTTAAGCATAACATAAATCTACACGTACATCATTGGAAAGTTTTACTTATAAAATTAAGAAGTTTTATTTTGGTTATAATCGCATTTATAATATTAGTTATACAAAATAGTGTGTCTTAACACACACACACACACACAATATATGTATATATGTCCTATAAAATGAGACCTCAGTAATGAGAAAATCTCTCTACCCAATTACATTTCTAACGTTGTAGTTACCTGTAATTGCCTCTAATAATGTCCTATGTATTTGACATAATTAATAGTATAAATGCGAATATTATCGGAATTTATAAATAGGTTTATTTTTCATGCTAAATGGGGCAACCGAGGAGACGGTCTACCTGATGTAGGTAGTTCAATAGGCCATGGACATCCGCAACATAGTTTTGCCACTTTAATTTAGGGAGATGGGGGAGGAAAAGTAGGAAAGGGAAGGGAAAATTATTTATTTAGCAAGTATTGTTGATACAAACCTTATCTGAGAGCAGACCAGCGGTCGGCGTTTTGTCCTTGGGGTCTGATTCCGGTATTTTTTCATTGGGATTGTCCAGATGTATACCCGGCCAGCCCACCCAAATACCTTTGCCCCTTATAACTACGGGCGCTACAGCTGTGACGAGGCCACCAGCGCTGGTTAAGATAACACGATATTTAAATAACATTACGAGTAAAATATATTAAAAGACTAATCCCTACTAAAATTCAAATTTATTTCCAGTATGGAAGTTCAAGATAAGGGACTTATACTAATTTTGTTGGTAAAATTTTATGCTTTTTTATAATCTTTTTCGCTTTTTTTGGATTAATTCTGACTAAGATTAGCTTTTTATATAGATAGCATTGGTGTTATATAAATTGCTATTGTTATTATCTAACAGGCCATTAGAAACCTTTTAGCACCAATTCAAGCGTCGTACATCGTTAAGTACCCATTACTAGAATATATCCGTATGTTTTGCCTCGACGACATATTAAATGTACATACACACACTCACACACACATACACGTAATATGTATATACATATACCGTAAATAATATTCAAACACAATATAATATAAAATTAAACAAGAATTTGTATTTAAAAGTATTTATATTAGCTTGTGTTTTTTGCAATGAATTAAAAATGGCGGCAAATTTTGCTTGACTTTCGTGATTTTTCTTAATTTTAATAAGTTTGCTATACCTAATTTATGCTTTTTTTCTACTAAATTGTCGTGTTATTTGTCAATGTTACATAATTATATTATCTTCGAGTAAGGTCAACTTATAAATATTAATACATATAATTTATCGCTGGCAGTTATAAAGTTAACAGATATATTTTTCTTTATAACAACTAAACTTTTAAGACTTAGTTAATTCCTATGCATTTCTGTACTTGGATTGGGATATAAGCAAAATAATATTTCTGAGATCGAAGTTTTATTCAAAAAATATATTTTTTTTACTATCAAATACGAAAATTCAGTTTTGATGTAAAGTGATCGTCAAAATTCTTAGATTTTATGACAATGGACAGACAAAAATTTATTTATAAAACGAAATAGTTTTCTTATACATATATGACAATAAATTTTATTTTGCTCTACATAAATTATTTGAAATATTATACTTATAAGTGTAAACATATTTTATTTAGATATAGACTTATCATACACTTATAATTATATATGATGATTTTATTATTTCGATTGCTAAAAGCTTTAAGGTTAAATGAAAATCAGGAATAGTTAAATCAAATAAAAAAAATATTTTTCTACAAGGATATCATTTAAAACTTTCAGGAGATAATACTGTGATAAGTAGATTAAAGTTTTATTATATTAAACCAAATATACCAGCTTTTGTATAATTTATTTTAATATTTAAATATAAAATTAAAACTTATCCATATTAAAACAGTAGTTTTAATAAGATAATCACCTCATATAATAATCATACGGATTTCTCTTATATTTAAAATATAAAAAATAGACAAAATTCTCATCCTAAAATGTACAAGGGCGTGGTTTTCCATTTCACTCGTGAAATAATATCAATGAAAAACTTCTCAAAATTATTTACAGACGTGACCTTAGAGCTTAGACTACAATCGTAAAGAAATAAAAACCAACGCCATATTATTTACCATAAGTTTTGTCAATAAAGGCTTACGTTTTTCTTAAGAATTGGTGTATAAGTTATTTAAAAGCAACATATTGTATTGTAATACATTTGTATTCTCACTTCAAGTACAATTATCACAATTACAGCATGTAACACACAAACGCGAACAAATATTGCCTTCCAAGATCAAGGTCTGCTTGCAAAACACTACTAACAGATGACTATCAGATAAAAAAACATATTTTCAATGGCCAGAATACCTATTCGAGGTCCTTTTAATATTAATGTAAGGAAATTATTAAATAATTATCGATTTATTTCTAATTATGTATATTTGTAACAGAATTCCCTTAAACGAACTATTGAACTTCGGGAATGTTCCCGAATAAGTATTATAAGTATGCAATATAGAGAATTGCATAAATAATTTTTGTGAATTCTATGACTTTAATGACCTAATAATAATAATACAATGCATAAATTAAATAAATAATAAAAATATTAAATTCATAAAACTCATTTTAAATTTTTATTCATATATTCCAGAATTTTCTGGTCACTTGCGAGATAAAAAGGACTAAATTCTATAGAAGGGGACTGATTTTATTATTTTTAGATCAGGTTTATTGAGTTACTGGAACTGCGAATCCTTAATATTATACACAATTACGTCCTAGAACATTCTCACACTACTAGAATATAAAGTATCTTATAATATCTTTCTACTGTACTCACCTGGCTTTTCTCTCTAAATCACCGGTTTTCTCATTTCTTTTTAAAACAAATGGTAGCCTGTTTGATACAACAATCATACTCCCCTTGCTATTGCACGTAGAGCGACTAACACTGTTTTGTGGCACATTCATGGTTTTTTTCATCGTTCCGTATCAACCAATCACAGTTCAGACACGACGCGTGTGTAACAATGGCGGTAAATTTAAATATTAAATACACGATATAAACGATTGTACGTTTTGTGTCATTGTCAAGTTACAATAAATGTTATGTGATCTAGTCCGCGTAAATGATTAACATCATCGGCGGAGATTGAAAGCCAACTGTTTCCTTTGAGTTGTTCGGTTGTCTTTATAGATTAATATGTGACGCAGAAGTATGAAGTTCTCACTTGCGTCTGTGAGTATCAGAGGTCTGTACAGACGTCTTGGCGGGGTTATCAAACTGACCTATGGAGATCGTCTCGCTTGTTATACAACCCGAATTTTTTGTATACACTAGCAAATATGTACTGTTTGTGGTATAATTTATTTTAAATATACTTTTCCAATTTCCCTGTTAATATTACCTAAACAATAAACAAGTTCTTCATAATAAACTATGAGTAGGTATAACTTTTTGTTCAACAATTTATCTACAAGTGCTGTTAGCAATTTATGATCTCAATATAATTTGTCAGCGGCGTTATTAGATTGCTATAAAATTATGATTGAATGTGTATTTCTTTGATGTCTGTATTATTTATATTAGTGCGATAGAATGTTTAAAAAAACTTATTTTCCAAAGCAATAATCGTTTCGTAAAAATCCAAAATTATTTTAATATTTGACATTCAATAGTCGTATATTTTGACGTTTAATAAATATATTATGTATTTAATAAATATATCAATTAATACGAGCCCTATATTATTGGCCTAGTTAAATTTCTTTGTTCGTTGCATGCACAAATCTAATACAATAATTTGTTTATGCATGCTCGTTTCTGATAACGTTCATATAATTGAGCTATCCGATGTTTCAGTGACTCCAATAGAAAAAAAAACTAAAAAATGACTAATTTCATAATAAAACAAATATTTCGACAAAAATAATGCTTTCAAATATTATTTATATGTAACACAACGAAAACATAGTTTTTGAAAGAACATAACATTATTATCTATTACCGTAATTTAAATTTAGAATATTATGATTAGTGCAAAAAAAAAGGTTAAGTATATAGTTTTTATCTAATTAATGTTACAACTACTGATTATTTTATTTAAATATTTTTAATTAGAAACAATTTGAAGTTATTATATTTTTGAAATCTGAACTACCATAAATCAAATCTTATTAATCACAACTTATATAATATTTAATTCTTCATTTAGTTATTATAAAAATCAGTATAAAATTCATTTGTTTTATAACAACCACAAAAAAAAATAGATATAAAACCTTTTCAATGACATATAAAAACTTTTTCGTATATCAAACCTTTTTTGAAATAAGAATGTTGCCATTAGCAATTATAGTCTGTAGTTGTCCTATCCACGTGGATGCATTCAAATGCGTGTGACGCGTGGTGTGTGCATGGTGTTCGCGGGCTTATCACGTGTTCTATCCCCGCCTGCTCATGATCTAAACACTAGATTGAATGGATCATACCCATTCATAATTTTGATTGCATAATTTGTGTTTAAATTCATAAGTGTCAATTTACGAGTATAACTCATTTTAAATTTAGGTATGGCAACAACGGATCTGTTTGGTTAACTTTTAATCTAACTCTACCATCAATTTTGGTATTTCGTTTTGCGTGAAATTCTTTTAAGAACTGAAATTATATAATATTGTTAATTTAGACTCTTTTAAATTAATGTCTGAATGGTTTAATGTAAATTAATCTAAACATGATATTTGTTCGTGAACCACGACTACTAAGAGCATATTTTTGCATTTTTTTTTAATTATTTATTTAATAATTATGTTTATTTAATAAACAAAATATTTAAAATTCATTTACCCTTGTCTGACCAGTTAAAGTTACTTGGAAAAATAAATGCACAAAAATAAAATATTTTTCCTATTTTAACCAATGAATAATTAGAATAAAAATATCTTATTCAATGTGTTGTTCTCATTTAAGAAAATACAGAATGTGAGAGCCAAAAAATATACAGGAACAGAAATAACAAAGTGTATAGATAAAACAGACACAGAAAACTTTATCTTTTAGTATTATTTTTCATTTATACGTTATAGTACATAGAGCACTGGCTTTTACTTCAGCCTTATAGTTAATTTATATACGAGTATACTATAAGTATAAAAATAAAACTATTTTTAAATGGAGGCATATTCTTCATTATGCAAATTATAACAGAAGGCCCAGCGAACTTCGTATCGCCCTATAATCAAGAAATATCTGTTGCGTTTTTTTATTTATATTTTTGGAGTTTACCTATTAAAGCCATAAATCTCTGTGTTTTGAAGTGCGACAGAATGATTGACATATTAGTTAGTTGTCAAATCTAATGTCAAAAAAAGTTTAAATATCAACAACTACTAATAAATTAAAAATTAATTAAAAAAAACATTGTCCAGCGGACAAAATTGTGAATCTAAACCATTCCCAGATCCCCTTGAACACACACAAAAAATTTCATCTAAATCGGTCCCGTCGTTTGAGAGAAGTTCAGTGAAATACACACTCACAGAAGAATTATATATATATACATAAAGATTTAACTCTTATTATTCGTTCTAAATAAACTTTAAAAGCGTTAAAAGTGTTGACAGTTGCAAATAATTATAATCCAATGTAAAGTACGGGATTTAAACATACGTTCGTGTTTTCTAAACATATTGACCTTCAATAATATACCCATGTTTGTAACACAAGCAGGTAGAATAACAAATTATTTTACAAAACAACATTATTTTAACAATTTTATGGAATATTATTACATTTGATCAAGTTATTCAATTTCTTGTCTCCTTTTTAGTAATAAATCATAATAAAAATAGGATTTTTTTATGAAACCTCTTTCAAACAAAACTTTTTCATAGTTTAAATGAAACTAATACTTTTCGGATGTACTACGCGATATTATTTTTGATAAAAACTACATACTCCCGACGTTTCGGTTGCTGTAAAGTACTAGTATTGGTTTCATTTAAATGAATATTTACCATAGAGTCATATTTATATCAAATTAATATTTTTCATAAATCTGAACGTACCAATATAAATTAATAGGTCAAATGAAAAGATTAAAGAAAGCAAATTATTTTGTTAAGTTAAACTTATTAGACGTATTTTATTATTAAAAAAATATAATACACGTAGTAATCAAAATAATATTAGTTTCATTTAAATGAATACTCACAAAAGTTTTAGATCTCACTCAATTGTTTCAGTTGAAGTCAAAATTTCATTATCTTCTATATATATAAAAATGGATTGCTGTTCCTTAGTCTCGCTAAAACTCGCCAACAGCTGAACGGATTTATCTTATCTTAGTCTTGAAATGATCGTGGAGGTTCAGGGAAGGTATAAAAGCTGAGAAAAATTGATTCATTACTGGGAAAACCCTAAAAACAGCCCTTTTCTATTTCCAATACAAGCGTTTTTTTTGACATTAGATTTGACAACTGACTAATATGTCAATCATTCTGTCACACTTTAAAACACAGAGATTTATGGCTTACAGATAAACTCCAAAAATATAAATAAAAAAACGTAATAGATACTTTTTGATTATAGGGCGATACAAAGTTCGCCAGGTCTTCTAGTATTAAATACATTACTATCGTGTTGTACATATATGTATGGAGTTGTGTTTCAACATACATTTAGCTCCTAGCCAGTTTGTTTTGTTTACATCTACGAGTATGATCGCTCTTTCAATTAAGTATTCAGCCTTGATACATCCATATGACAATATATATACAAACGTATAATACGAATAACTGTCCTATAATTGATATCCAGTTGATTTTATGATCTCATGAATATATATTTTTCTATATATATATAAATATATATATGCTAGTAATACAACAACTTGATAACATTAACAAGGGCTTTGTGATCAGAATAATACATAAGTATTTTTTTCATATAAATCTTTTAAGAACAAGTCATTAATGTTTTGATAGATGTAATATTTCTTATTAGTTCTATTTGAAGCTTCATAACTCTACTAGAATATGTCTATTCAACGAAAAAATTAACAAGGCACTTAAAATGTTTCGAATTAATGAGCTCTTTTAATTAATATGTATATATGTTATGTGTATAAGAATAATGCAAGTGACGTCAGATCTTGATAAGATTCACAAAAAACAAATTGTCACCTATATAAAGTATTGAGAAATCTTATAATAAGGTAGAGTCAAAATCATTTTGATTTTAAAATTTTAAATAAATACGTTTTAAAGATCATGAATGGTTTTTGCTTTTTTCAAGTAAATGAGGATAAACTGGAGAAAATTCTTCATGCAACTCCTATGTTATTCATATTTTTAATTACCTATAAATATGTAGGTAGAGAGAGGAGCTTAGACGGTGGAGGTGAGATATTAACGCGCGTTAGATACGGTCCTTTAAACCTACACCTGGGTCGCAAGTCCCAGGCACTGTTGAAGCTCTTCTTCCTGCGATGATGGACCCGACATCCACACAAGTTTTGTCTCACATATTCAAATAAGGATAAAGATAAGAAATAAAATATTCAAAACTGCATCAGCGTCACAATTCATTCCTTCAGACAAAACTATTCTGTGACAAAAGCGTCACCTATTTAATTTTTGCGATTCGATTTTCACATCTTTTATAAGACCTGTGAAGTAATTTAATTAAATATTATAATTTTTAATAATGATTTTCTTAATGAATATGGAATGAGTGTCCTACAAAATGAAAGTTCTACACTTGCATTTAAACTTTTTTTGATAATTTTCTATCACACTAGCTATAAAAAAAGTAGCAACCTAGACCATGGGATTTAGATATGATGGGAAATATTGGTTTCCAAAAAAAGACAATTCGATATCACACAAAAAGTTAAAAAACATCTTTAGGAAAATTGTACCTTCAATTTAATCTATTTTATAATCATCTGTAGCATTTAATTTTATGCTTATATTATCAC